CCCTGAGTACATCTTCGCAGTCCTCTTGGCCATGTCAGGGCGCAGAGTCGGGTCCCACTTAGGTCTCCCCGCTGGAACCTTTGACTTTGGGCTGACCTTGTAGGGGGTGGCCCCAACGAGTTGCTTCACTTCTGTAGACTTGGCCACTTCAGGTAGGGTCACGGAATGCTTTGGTTCAGGCTGTGTGGCGTACGATGGCAGGTAATTCTCCATTATGCCTGAATTAAAACATTTTTTTTTTAAAATTCAGTTGCAACTCACCAAAGGGTAACCTAGTGCCATAGGTCACCTACACGCCATAGGTCACCTACACGCCAGAGGTCACCTACACGCCATAGGTCACGGACACGCAGTATGAGAAAAAGATGAATTAGCCCAATGCTCCTGGCAGGCAATCAATTATTATTATTTACAAAGCTGATATAATTTTAACATATTTTTTTTTTTTTTAAGAAACAGTTTGTTTTTTTTAAACCTTCATTTTCATTGTTAGGTTTTGATGAATGCTAATGTTAGGCAGTCTGCCGATACCTTTGCTATTTTACAATTTCAATCATGTGTCCCTTTTTTATCAGTTCAATGTTATAATAAATTACACGTGTAGCATCAATCACACATTCATTAACTAGTGAAAGGGCTTATTTCCTTACCGACGTCATCACTTGGCCAGTGGGCCGTCATCAACATCTCCTTGTAGGCCCGTCTCTTCTTGGCCATGTCTTCTTTAGTCGAAAAGGCTGCAGGCCCCATGCAAACCAACACTACAAGCCTGAGCGTTATGAAAAAAGAAAATAGGTCAGCAAAGGGTCAGGCTGGATATCTATGTGGGATTAACGAACATGACATTTTCGAAAAGCAGTAAGAAGAAAAGGAAACAATTTCTTCAAAAGACTCTAAATTCTCTAAAGTCAAAGAAGTTTTAGAAATGTATTTAATATATTAAAAAATATGTTCAAGTAGGACTATAGAACAATTCAAAAAAACATTTATGTAAATTCAAGCATGGTTGCACTTAGGAAGACGGACGAAGGCAAATTATGACAACCCCAGCAGCCATCAAAACAACAACAAAGAGATTTTCACAACAGCAAGAAGTACAGTTATTTATTTTATTGACACTGCAACAAGAAGACTCCACCACACCAGACAAGTCTAATGTATAACTGATACTTGCCTCCATCGGTCATGATGCTGTCGTCCCTGCTTTGGTCTGGCGTTGGCGTGGACCAAGCGTGAGTCCCACAACAAGAGGTCACCGGCCCTGGCTGGGACACGCCTTCTAGAGCAGCCTGTGGTGTTGATAGCGTGGTGTTGATGGTTTCATATGACAGAATTTCTTCGCATACCTAGACTTTTATACCACAGACTTTCCTCACATATCTAGACTTCACATACCCAGACTTTCATACCACAGAATCTCTTCATATAAATAGACTTTTATGCCACAGACTTTCCTCACATATCTAGACTTTCATACCACAGACTTTCCTCACATATCTAGACTTTCATACCACAGACTTTCATCACATACCTAGACCTTCATACCACAGACTTTCATCACATACCTAGACTTTCATACCAATAAATGTCCTCACATACCCAGACTTTGATACCACCGAATGTCCTCACATACCTAGACTTTCATACCACCGAATGTCCTCGTCTCTCATCCTCCAAAGTCCAGTGTTGACTGATCGTATTTTAGCTTTGTCGTTCCTCCCATAGAACGTCTCGAGATGCTGATGAGAGCCTTCGAGTACTTCAAATGTCCAGTCTTCTTCCTCGGCCTGGTTGAAATAAAAATTCTTGCGTTAAGTTGGCTACAAGATAGAGTTTAGTTTCGACTTTTTTTTTTATGTGTTTTTCTTTTCTTTGCTCGTTTGCTCGTTTGTTCGTTTGTTTGTTTGATTGTTTGTTTGTTGTTGTTGTTTTTCTAAAATTTAAGGAAAGTTCGACCAAAGAAGTATAAATGACTTCCATTACAAGATGATTTTTGTTATGTTTTGTTTTGTTTAAAGGGCAATAACCTAAGTCGATGCTATTTTTTTTGTTCAAATACCGTTTCCAGATAGACAGCTCCTTGATAGGCATGGAGACCAAGCCTGGCTGCGCATTGGTCAACATGCAGCCAATGGTTGCTGTCGTTGTCGAACTCTTCCACGCCAAGTTCCGGCGGTTGACCAATGGCCACGGCGTCCACGCTGGTGAGCAGCTGCTCCGTTCCCCACAGTTGTGTGAAATATTTCTTGACCTTAAAATATGCAGTAATGGGATTTTTTTTAATGTGTCACATCTACATTAAGGTATGAGGTTAAAAAAACAATGGAAGCAATGAAAAAGAAAATGTAACCAACTGGCAAATTGAGATTTCATGCAGGGGGGCTTCATTTCAAGATTTTTAAACGAGGTGGGAGTGCAAAACCAAATTTGTGTTGCCTTGTTAAGTTTTTTTCTTATTGAAGACGTCACAATACATAACAATTTAAATTAAACCTGCAAATTCAAGGGGGTTGATACCCCACACTACCCTACCCAAGTGACGTCCTTGATGACATGCATGTTGTTTAAATTACAAAATAAATGGCAACAGATTTAACAAAATATTCATCTGAACAATAATGATCATGTTCATGGAAATAAATTCCTCTTTAATCTATCGCAATAAAAGGTTTATGACTGTAAAGCCCCTTTCCCTTGTCTTCGAACAGGATTTAGAAGATAATATTTTTGACTGCTTATGCTTAGTCTCACCTGCAGGCGAACGGCCCAGGCCGGCTCCAGATAGCCGATCCCGTAGTGTCTGACAATGGAGTGAACGCTGTAAGGCGCGGAACCATTCTTGAAATGGTGGCTCATCCAGTCGAAGAACTCATCTCTCAGCTGGGCGTGGTCGGGGACAGCGTTTTCGATGATGGTGTAGCCCTTGATTTCAAGGTCGTCTCTGTTTTTGGCTGTGAGCATCTTGCCAAGGTCGGCAAGGAAGTGGGCGGTGTCTAAATAATTCTATCAGGCGACTGGGTTGTGTCTAAATAAATCTATCAGACGAGTGGGTTGTGTCTAAATAAATCTATCAGACGAGTGGGCTGTGTCTAAATAAATCTATCAGACGAGGGGGCTTTGCCTAGATAGACAAACAATGGAAATTTGATGACGTATGATCAAGCAGTTTCTCATCCAAACCTTAATTCAAGTCTTTAATAGGGTAGGGGAAGAAAATAGGGAAGAAATAGGGAAGTCAAGAAAAATGGATGATTGATAAATAATTGACCTCGAAGTTGTCAACAATGGATGTATCAACTATATAAAACCCAGTGTGAATGTGTGTAAATGGATCGATTTATCACAAGAAAACCAAACAATCGATCCCAATCAAATTTAACATGGTCATTCCTCTTGCAATTTAAAAATCGTTATATAAAGAAGATAAAGAGTAAAAAAATATAAATTATAATGACTCTGAGAAACGGTCAAGTTAAGTTGTTGTTTTTTTTTTTTAAGTTCGCATTTTTAATAAGCCTTTAAGTAGATCGGTTTGCTATCAAACCACTATCAAACAAATGTCAAACAACTATCAAACAGATGTCAACAACTATCAAACAACTATCAAACAACTATCAAACAACTATCAAACAACTATCAAACATCTATCAAACAAATATCAATCAATAATCAAACAACTATCAAGCAACTATCAAGCAACTCTCAAACTATCAAACAACTATCAAACAACTATCAAGCAACTATCAAGCAACTCTCAAACTATCAAAAAACTATCAAACAACTATCGAACAACTGTCAACAATAATCAAACAATTATCAAACAACTATCAAACAACTATCAAACAACTATCAAAAAACTATCAAACAATTATCAAACAACTATCAAACAACTGTCAACAATAATCAAACAACTATCAAACAACTATCAAACAACTATCTAACAACTATCAAACAACTATCAAACAACTATCAAACAACTATCAAACAACTATCAAACAACTATCAAACAACTATCAAACAACTATCAAACAACTATCAAACAACTATCAAACAACTATCAAACAAATGTAGTTTTTCGGTGCACTTTTGTTTGTTTCGCACATGTTTGAATCAAGTTTTTTTCCCGTGCGCTTTCAAACGATGTGAAATTCGTTTTTCAACAAACGATTCGATTTTTTAAAAATTCAATCATATCCTTTAAATGTACGGTTCGCTAATGCATGTTGCATTGAGTGGTTTGAACACCTGGTCAAAATGCCTGTCAACCGACCTGCAATGCACGCAAGTATAATAGCAGGCATTCCGATCTCGTGGTCATAGGAAGACCACACATGTCCGGGGGATCGTCTGTCTGGAAGAGACACCCTAAAAATCACTTTTTTTTTTTAAAAATATCCAGCAGACGTCTGACCTGGCGCGGCAATCCGTCAACTACACCTTTCCCGCGACGTCTCCGTGGTTGTGAACTCCTCACGGACATGATTTAGTTCCGAGTGCAGAGCTAAATATAGAATAAGCACGAACTTGTTATCACCCGATCGAGGCACAGAGCATCTGGTGAGTCTAACGGACCGTCCGGGAATCACCAAGCGGAGCATCACGTGACTCTAACTGACTTTACTCGGTATTCGATTGGTACGAGGATTTAGAGACACTGTGAACTTATTTGATTATAGTTAAAAGTGGCTTTCTTCGGTTGGTAAGAGGATTTGTAGAGACGTTCTGAACTATTTTATCGTTAAATGTTTTCCAATAATCTCAAAACATGTTATTGAATCCTTTTTATCTCAGCCCCATTTCTGCGGGCGCCAACTTGCCTCGACGCGGCGCTGAGACGACGCCCCTGGGAACTGTATACATCCGCCAGGAAGGCTCAGCGAGTTATCTAACTTGACGGTATTGTCCGACAGGTAAACTACTGTCCGTTCGTCTTAGCGCATGTGTCTTCCTCCGGCGCCCGTATATAAGTGCAGTTGGGGTGTGCACCGCGTACTTCAACGTTGGAGGTTATGGAGTCGGTGAACAGCGGTAAGGTTGTGATTGTGATTGTGATTGCAGTTGATATTAATATTGCAGTCTCACGTAGCCATCGTACTAGCCGATCTATTCAGAAATCGAAATGTCTCTATACAAAATATTTTTAAAAAAAAATTTTATACTTAATATTGTTTACACATTTTTTTGAAGATAGTAAAGAGTATAATAATGAGTATGTCAGTTAAACTATGCATCTGCTGACATGATATTCAAGTAGTGCAATAACGTGTTTTAAAGGGATTGCATTTTCAATGTAGCAATCTGCATTGCACTGTTACTATTGTTTCACGTATCAATGTCTAGCTTGGTGAGCAAGTGTAAGCGACATCTTCAGCAAAGCGATGAAGTTAAGTCCTCATAGTTGTACACATAAGCCCTGATCGTTATGCGCTTGTTTACGAAGATGTCGCATTTTGGATGGAGGGCTACACGTCCTGTCTAAATGACCGCTTCAGTGGATTTTGACATAACAAGGGCCTCTGTGAACGTGACCTGGTTATGACGCGATAAGAGCCACAGTTAGTTGCTTTTATTTAACAGAAACAGTTATTTTTTTTCTTCATGAAGTTGGTGTTTCCTAAGGCGCCCAAAACTATAATATAGAAGAGACGTCGTAATTCTAACAAATTCTAAATGATCCCTAATTAAGTCATTATTTCCGCTAAAGGAGTTCATTGGTGGATGATTTCTACGTTAGAGAAATACTTTAGATGTCCTGTGTTTATAGTTGTTGCAATTGTAAAATGTTGTCTTGGTGAAGATATCTATTTATTTATGTGCTGAAAATGAATATGTACATGGTCATCAACAGACATTTGCATTTATTTGGATCAATCGTCATTTTAATTGTTTCATTAAAAAACAAAATAAATAATTGTGTGAAAAATAATTGTGAGTTTTTGGCGTCCCTTCAAAGAGGAACTAGAGAACCTCTAATTGTACATCCGATGGGTCGGTAAGTGAACAGATATTTATCTTGTGTTTATACGCTCTACTGTCGCCAGCTGGTGATGCGGTGTCAGAAGGAGGCTTGTTGCCAGGTACGCCAGACCTGGCAGATAAACAATGAGGGTTTTTTTTTCATGCATCTAAAAATATATATGCTTCGTCTATGTTGCTGTTGTTGGTTTTTTTTCAAACAGATACACATTTGTGAGGTATAAAATATCAAATGGCATGTAATAAATGCATGTTTTTACAATTCATAGATGTGAAAGAAAAGTTTTAACTTTTAAAAAATGAATGCAATAAATTCATGATCTTAACATTCATTCATAAATGCATGAGAAAGATGTATCCTTTTTAATGGCAAGACGATTAAGACCAGACTTCATGTTTAATTTTTTTTTACATTCTTGTATAAGGAACAATGCAGTCATTTTTTGCGGTCGCCCTGGTGACGTCACTGTCAGCTGTCGTTCGCGGGGCGGTGCTCGGGGGCGACACGTACTTGTATGAGAATGGTAAGTACTTGTATGAGAATTGTGAGTACTTGTGTGAGAATGGTGAGTACTTGTGTGAGAATGGTGAGTACTTGTGTTAGAATGGTGAGTACTTGTGTGAGAATGTTGAGTACTTGTTTGAGAATGGTGAGTACTTGTGTGAGAATGGTGAGTACTTGTATGAGAATGGTAAGTACTTGTATGAGAATGGTGAGTATTTGAATGAGAATGGTGAGTATTTGTGTGAGAATGGTGAGTATTTGTGTGAGAAAGGTGAGTACTTGTATAAGAATGGTGAGTACTTGAATGAGAATGGTGAGTACTTGAATGAGAATGGTGAGTACTTGTATGAGAGTGGTAAGTACTTGTATGAGAATGGTAAGTACTTGTGTGAGAATGGTGAGTACTTGTGTGAGAATGGTGAGTACTTGTGTGAGAATGGTGAGTACTTGTGTGAGAATGGTGAGTATTTGAATGAGAATGGTGAGTACTTGTGTGAGAATGGTGAGTACATGTGTGAGAATGGTGAGTACTTGTATAAGAATGGTGAGTACTTGAATGAGAATGGTGAGTATTTGTGTGAGAATGGTGAGTACTTGTGTGAGAATGGTGAGTACTTGTGTGAGAATTGTGAGTACTTGTGTGAGAATGGTGAGTACTTGTGTGAGAATGGTGAGTACTTGTGTGAGAATGGAGAGTACTTGTGTGAGAATGGTGAGTACTTGTGTGAGAATGGTGAGTACTTGTGTGAGAATGGTGAGTACTTGTGTGAGAATGGTGAGTACTTGTATGAGAATGGTGAGTACTTGTATGAGAATGGTGAGTACTTGTGTGAGAATGCTAAGTACTTGTATGGGAATGGTGAGTACTTGTATGAGAATGGTGTGTACGTGTGTGAGGATGGTAAGTACTTCTATAAGAATGGTATGTACTTGTATGAGAATTGTAAGAACGACACTTATGGAATACATATCCTATTTTTTTATATTCGTTAAAAACAAAACGATGACACACGGGTGGCAGACATTTTTATGACATTGACGGGGACCAATCGTTGAGTATCAAATCTTGTTTTGGGTCAATTTGAGGGCAAGCACAAGTAGAACAGTTAAATACGTATCAAATTTTATCTCTCTCTCTCTACATTTCCTTCTTGTTTTTAATATTTAAAAAAAAAAAAGAAAATTGACAAGATCTTTCGAAATTGGGAATACGTTTTCCTTCGTGGTTATAGCAGAGATGGAGGCTACGCGTCAATTGTTACGTTTTTGGATCTGATTTATAATGTCAAAATAGTGTGTTTATTATGTTTGTTTGTTTGTTGTTTTTTTTTTGGGGGGGAGGGGTAGTAAGACGTCAATATATATATATAAAATGGGTGTGCGCTTTACAAAAATAGTGGTCCTCAAAGAAATGAACTTAGAGTAAGACTGTGCGAGCTTCCATTGGGGATTTTATTAACATAATTAGCAAAAAGCTTGTTTCAGACGCCTCGATTTAAACAATGAGCGTGTCTTATTTCAGCTGCGTCCTACTGGCACGACGGGGCGCACGATGAGCTGAGGGAGGCACTAAAGGAGCGCCCAGGGGGCGTAGCTAAGAACGTCATCCTGTTTTTAGGGGATGGAATGGGACCAGCGTCAGTGACAGCGGCCCGCATTTTGGCTGGACAGAAACTGGGCAAAACGGGGGAAGAGTTTGATTTGAGTTTTGACAAGTTTCCATACACCGGCTTGGTCAAGGTAAGTATGGTTAACTTAATAAGACTTGGTCAAGGTAAGTGTGGTTAACTTAATAAGACTTGGTCAAGGTAAGTGGTTGTGGTTACTTTTTAAAGAAGTTTAGCCAGAGTAAGTGGTTTCCTTAATAAGCCATGGTCAGAGTAAGTGGTTTCCTTAATAAGCCATGGTGAGAGTAAATGGTTTCCTTAATAAGCCATGGTGAGAGTAAATGGTTTCCTTAATAAGCCATGGTCAGAGTAAATGGTTTCCTTAATAAGCCATGGTCAGAGTAAATGGTTTCCTTAATAAGCCATGGTCAGAGTAAGTGGTTTCCTTAATAAGCCATGGTCAGAGTAAGTGGTTTCCTTAATAAGCCATGGTCAGAGTAAGTGGTTTCCTTAATAAGCCATGGTCAGAGTAAGTGGTTTCCTTAATAAGCCATGGTCAGAGTAAGTGGTTTCCTTAATAAGCCATGGTCAGAGTAAGTGGTTTCCTTAATAAGCCATGGTCAGAGTAAGTGGTTTCCTTAATAAGCCATGGTCAGAGTAAATGGTTTCCTTAATAAGCCATGGTCAGAGTAAATGGTTTCCTTAATAAGCCATGGTCAGAGTAAGTGGTTTCCTTAATAAGCCATGGTCAGAGTAAATGGTTTCCTTAATAAGCCATGGTGAGAGTAAATGGTTTCCTTAATAAGCCATGGTGAGAGTAAATGGTTTCCTTAATAAGCCATGGTGAGAGTAAATGGTTTCCTTAATAAGCCATGGTCAGAGTAAGTGGTTTCCTTAATAAGCCATGGTCAAAGTAAGTGGTTTCCTTAATATGGACAAAGTAAGTGGTTTCCTTTATAAGGGTTAGTCGAGGTAGGTGGTTTGCTTTTTAAACAAATATTACCAGAGTAAATGGTTTATTTTTTATACAAGTTAAGCCAGGGTAAGTGGTGTACTTAGACAGGTGTAGTCAAGGTAAGTGGCTAACTCACAATAGCGTAGTCAAGGTAAGTGGTTTACCTATACAGGTGTAGTCAAGGTAAGTGGCCAACTTACAATATAGCGTATAGCCAAGATAAGTGGTTAACTTATACAGAAAATGTGAATAACTTGTAAAAACAAAGATACTTTTTTTTTTAATGGTTTTATTTGGAAGGTAAGTTCTGCCAACAGCTTATCCGTTACGTCGTTAATGACTCAAAGCGTCGTTAAAACGTCTTTACTGAGTCAAAGCGTCGTTCCCTGACTCTTTAGTTTAAAAGACGTGGCCTAATCACATCGCGCTAACTAGGCAACCTGGTGGTCATGTCAGCCAGGAACGCTAATTAGACCATTAGTCATGTAGTTGTAGCCTCCCTTGGCATGGTTGTGGATCTCTCAATTAATGTCCTTAGCTTAAGTAAACGGTAACAACAAAAAAAAAATTCAAAAGTCTTTGAAGGACTTTTAAATGATATTTAGAGTTAAAACGAATCTTTAGTAGATAATAATGTAATAAATAAATTCCTGAATGTATCTCTTTGTATTTGGAGTTCATGGATACATGCGGTCGTCTCTAGATTCCCATGCATATTATTTTTCGACCATAATTTACAGCATTACATAAGGTTTTATGAGCTGAAGGGCTCATGTCAAAATGGCTGCTGGATCAGGATGTCGATGAAATTGGGTTTCCACATCAAAACAATTTTTAAGAAAGTTACACGATTTCTTCACTACAAGGGCTCGGTCACAGCGGGCTAGGGACCGTTCGTGTGACAATGGCCTGTGCGTCACCGTAACGTTACTTGTAGCCTCTAACCAGCCATCCGTCTGTGTCAACACGAGACATCAAACTTTCGATATAATGAGCGCGGGCGGGACAGTTGAGTTAGAGAGTAGAATTAAAACAAAGGATTCGGTTTAAAAAAGGGTTCAACGAGTGCAATGCAAGTTGGGGGTTTGGGGTTGGGGGGGGGGGGGCGCTATCTTAACAGTAGGCAGTTTACTCACCCCTGTCCAATGTATTGGGTCCCTATGTTAAATTTATTCACAATGTTTTGCTTACTAGGCTTAACCGACATCCTCCCACAAAATTATGTTATACCCNTAAATTCATGATCGTTACATCGACATGTAAGTTCATGGCCGTTACATCAGCATGTAAATTCATGATCGTTACATCGACATGTAAGTTCATGGCCGTTACATCAGCATGTAAATTCATGATCGTTACATCGACATGTAAGTTCATGGCCGTTACATCAGCATGTAAATTCATGATCGTTACATCGACATGTAAGTTCATGGCCGTTACATCAGCATGTAAATTCATGATCGTTACATCGACATGTAAGTTCATGGCCGTTACATCAGCATGTAAATTCATGATCGTTACATCGACATGTAAGTTCATGGCCGTTACATCAGCATGTAAATTCATGATCGTTACATCGACATGTAAGTTCATGGCCGTTACATCAGCATGTAAATTCATGATCGTTACATCGACATGTAAGTTCATGGCCATTACATCAGCATGTAAATTCATGATCGTTATATCGACATGTAAGTTCAAGCATTCTTTTTTTAAACGCACTATTTTGTTTCTACTAAAAAGACAATTTTGACGAAAATTTGATCGTGTGAACTGAGCATAAACGATTTTGGCGATTTTTTTGCTTTTCTTTAACGTTACAGACAGCTCGAGCCTCGAATGGGTTGACTGTCAACATTTGAAATACGAGTTGTCATAAGGGGGGGGGGGGAACCTGTCACTAACGGTGTGAAGACCTTACGATATATTTAGGTATATATTTTTTTTTAAATATTTATTTTCTCAAAGGCAAATCAACCGGCATCGTGACGACAACTCGTCTCACCCACGCCACACCGGCAGGGGCGTATGCCCATTGCCCCAACAGGGACTGGGAGACGGACAGGTGAGCTGTTGTACGCCACGCCTTTGATTAGCTGTATAGCGATAGGATTGGAAGTGGAGTGGTGGAACAATGGTTCCGGCCTATTCTTGTGAATAACGTGAAGGTCTGAATGAAAACGGCCATGATGTTTGCGAATTATTTATCTTTATTACCATGTGAATGTTGGACAAAATGATTTTATTTTAGGCAATTTTATTTTAGATAAGTTTGCCTTTAAAATATATTATTTTCCCTCCTGAAAATTGTCAGGTTTTTTTTAAATAGTTGTAAACATCAAAATGCACCAACCATTAATAAATGAGATCCTGGCAGTTACCATTGCATGTGTCAGTTACCCCTACGTGTGTCAGTTACCCTTACGTGTGTCAGCTACCCCTACGTGTGTCAGTTACCCTTACGTGTGTCAGCTACCCCCACATGTGTCAGTTACCCTTACGTGTGTCAGCTACCCCCACATGTGTCAGTTACCCTTACGTGTGTCAGCTACCCCCACGTGTGTCAGTTACCCTTACGTGTGTCAGCTACCCCTACGTGTGTCAGTTACCCTTACGTGTGTCAGCTACCCCTCCGTGTGTCAGTTACCCTTACGTGTGTCAGCTACCCGCACGTGTGTCAGTTACCCCCACGTGTGTCAGCTACCCCCACGTGTGTCAGCTACCCCTAAGCTCATGTGGAAGGGCTTGTGAGTTGGCGTTGACAGAACACCCCGTCAATTTTCTTTTGCTTCACAGTTCATTCATAAAATTCAATCCCTGTGTGTCCTCAGTGATATCCCAGACACAGAGAAATCATGCGAGGACATCGCCCTACAGTTGATCCGACACAACAAGGACATCAATGTAAGGACCTGTATCCATTCTATTCATGACAACTTGCAGACAAGCTTAACACACAATTTGTTAAATTCGATGGAATCGGGTTAGAGGGTATTGTTAAGTGATTACGTCATTACTGTATCAATTTGAAATTACGTTATGAAATTTTTTTCCACGGCATTAAACACACAAGAGATTTGAAGAAGAAAATTTGATCAACCTGTTGTCCCTCTGCCTTGCAATAAATGGTACAATTAATTTTAAAAGAAATATATTTTTTAAAATCATTTTTATTTCATTTTATATATATATATATATATATACTATTATGCCATGAGAAAGGGGGGATATAAAATTAAACAACACCTAAAATAATATTGGTATTAATCCTTTATATGCATCTTTGAGCGACTTAACGATGGGTATAGTTGATATTCCCTTCAACTTTACACCGCAAGTTTATTCCACAAACTATTTCAAAAAACCAAAAGAAAATGTTACGCACCAAACGCAATTGCGAAAATTTGTTTAAGAATCACAGTTAGCGCAGTTATCGGGAATTTTGATTCATGAAATCAGTGTCGTCATATTTCCTTCATCTTCCCCTTGGAAAACAAAAAAAAAACAATTGATTTTGGGGGTTGGGGTGGGGTTGAAAATTTGACAGAGTGTGCTGTTAATGGCTACGAGCCTATGTGCCAAGTTTAAGTTAGATAAGATGACGGGGAAAAAAAGGGTTAATTAGCCGCTCAAAGATCTTGCAACCAATACAGAAATAAATACACGAACAAAAAAACTAAGTTAATTTATAGGATTTAAAAACAACCAAATTTCAATTTATATATATATATATATATATTTATTTATTTATTTTTTTATTAATTCGTAATTTAAGCTAATTTTTAATATATATATATATA